CCAGCTCGGACGGACGCTCCTGCCGCCGGTGGGGAGGGACTGGGGGGACCACGCCGGGCCCCCCCCACCCTGGGACCCCCCGACCCCCTCCCCCCAATGATGGGGGGGCTCCCCCCCTCCCCGCCCCCCCCGCGTTGTAATTATTTGAGTTGTTTCTTTTGTATCGTTCAGCCCCCGGGGGGGGTGTGGGGGCCACACACGGGGGGTCCGGGGGTCCCCCAGAGCGGGGAGGGGGGGCCCCAACCAGCACAGCAGGGCCAGCCCCCCCCCGCACCGGGTTTTTTATAGGATTGGGGGGTGGGGGGCGGGGGGGGCGGATCCGGGGCCCCCCTGCCCCCCCCTCGCTGACACTAACAGGTCTCGGGCTCTTTGTAGCGGGGCGGGGGCGGGGGGGCCTTATTTTATTGTATTATGATTTTTTTTATTATTATTAAACTTTGGAGGTTAAAGGGGGTCGGGGGTTTTTGTGGGGTCCCGAACTCCCGGGGGGGCGGGTCCCTTCTGCTGCCCTGAGGGAAAAAGGAAAAGAAAAAAAAAAGCAAAACCACTTCGGGAGGTGCGAAACAAAAAACCACTTCGGAGGTGAGAAAAAACAACCACTTCGGGAGGTGAGAAAAAAAAACCACTTCGGGAGGTGAGAAAAAAAAAAAAAACACTTCGGGAGGTGAGAAAAAAAAACCACTTCGGGAGGTGAGAAAAGCGCTTTTGTGAGGGAAAAACCTCTTCTGTGAGGGGAAATCTGACTTTCCTGAGGGAAAAATCCACTTTTCTGAGGTAAAACCTTCCCCCCTGGGGTGAAACACCCCTTTCCTGAGCTAAAAAGCCACTTTCCTGAGGTAAAACCTTTCCCAGGTAAAACACCTTTCCTGAGGTAAAAATCCACTTTCCTGAGGTAAAAACTTCCTCCCTGAGGTAAAACACCTCTTTCCTGAGGTAAAAATCCACTTTCCTGAGGTAAAAATCCACTTTCCTGAGGTAAAAACTTCCTCCCTGAGGTAAAACACCCCTTTCCTGTGGTAAAAATCCACTTTTCTGAGGGAAGAAAAACCTTTTCTGAGGTAAAAAACCCTTCCCTGAGGGGAGAAATGCTCTTTTCCGAGGTAAAACCCTTTTCTGTGAGGTAAAATTTACCTTCCCTGAGGTAAGAATCCACTTTTCTGAGGTAAAACCTTCCCCCTGAGGTAAGAATCCACTTTTCTGAGGTAAAACCTTCCCCCTGAGGTAAAACGTGTTTCCTGAAGCACGAAATGCTCTTTCGTGAGGTAAAATCCTCTTCTGTGAGGTAAAATTCATATTTTCTGAGGTAAAAAACCCTTTTCTGAGGTAAAATCCTCCTCCCTGAGGTGAAAATTTCTCTTTCCTGAGGTAAAACCCCCCTTTGTAAGGCAAAATTTACCTTTCCTGAGGTAAAAAAAATATCCTTTTTCCTGATGTAAAACCTCCCTCCGTGGAGCCAAGATCCCTTTTTGGACAAGTAATCGTCCTTTTGTGAGGAATTTTCCCCCTCTCTGAGATAAAACTCCTCTTTTTTTGAGGGAAAACTCTCTTTTTTGGGGGATAAAACCTTCATTTGGAGGAAAAACTTTTTTTTTGAGAAGCCCTTTCATGAGGTAAATCTCCCTTTTCCGAAGGAAAATCTCCCCCCCTTTTTTTTTTTCACTCAAAACCGTCTGGTTTGGTTTTTTTAAGAGAAACCCTCTTTTTTGGGGTGATTATCCCTTTTCCAGGGTTAATTGTGTTCTTTCTTGAGAACAACCCCCTGCCCCAGGGGGTAAATGTCCCTTTTCCCGAGGTAAAACTCGCCTCTTTTGAGGCAAAAATCCCCCTTTTTTGAGGGGAAACCTCCTTCTTTCTTAGGAAATGTCCCTTTTGCTGAGGTAAAACCTCCTTTTTTGAGGACATTTCTACCCCCCGAGGTGAAATATTCCTTTTCCAGGGAAAAAAAAACTGGTTTTTTGAGAAAAAACCCTATTTTTTTAAAAGAAAACGCTTTTTCCCACTTTTAAAAATTTTCATTTTTGGAGGGAAACCCCTTCCTTTTCCTTTTAAATAAAAACTTGCTTTTTTGAGGAAAATCCTTCTTTTTTTTTTTTTGAGATAAACATACCCTTTCCATGTGGAAACTTTCCTTTGAACAGCACCCCCTCATCTTTGAGGCAAATCCTTTTTCTGGATGAAAACACGTAATTATTTGAGGTAAATATCCCTTTCCGTGAGGAAAAAAAAAAATCATTTTTTGATGATACTTCCCCATAGAGACAAATATCCCTTTTCCAGAGGCAACAAAAAACCTCTTTTTGAGGGAACTCCCTCCTTTTTCTGAAGAACCCTCCCGGAGGTACAATTCGCCTTTTTTGAGGGAAATTCCTCCTGTGTCCCCCCCCCCCCTTTTTTTTTTGAAAAAAACACGGTTTGGTTATTTGACTGAAAACACTTCTCTTTTTTGATAGCAAAAACTTTATTGAGACGAACATCCCTTTTCCTGAGGACAAAACCTCTTTTTGAGGAAACCACCGCCCCCCTCCCTGAGGCAAATCCCCCTTTTCCAGAGGAAAACCGACCTTTTGTGAGGGAAAACCCCAGCGTTTCTTCGATCGCAGTCCCTTTTTCCCTGAGGTGACACCCGCCGCTCTCAGCCGGGCTCGGCTCGGGCTCCGGGCTCGGCTCCGGCTCCGGGCTCGGCTCCGGCTCCGGGGGCGTCGGGGCTCGGGCGGGGGCGGGGGGTCCTAAAGCCCGCCCGGTGGGTCCCAGTCTCGGTCCCGGGTCCTAAAGCCCGCCCGGTGGGTCCCAGTCTCGGTCCTGGGTCCTAAAGCCCGCCCGGTGGGTCCCAGTCTCGGTCCCGGGTCCCAAAGGCCGCCCGGCGGGCCCAGGCTCGGTCCCGGGTCCCAAAGCCCGCCCGGTGGGTCCCAGTCTCGGTCCCGGGTCCCAAAGGCCGCCCGGCGGGCCCAGGCTCGGTCCTGGGGCTGAGGCCGGGTCCCGGTCCTAAAGCCCGCCCGACACTGGGACTGAGGCCGGGTCCGGGTTCTAAAGCCCGCCCGGCGGGTCCCAGTCTCGGTCCCGGGTCCTAAAGCCCGCCCGGCGAGTCCCAGTCCCGGTCCCGGGTCCCAAAGCCCGCCCGGCGGGTCCCAGTCCCGGTCCCAGAGCTCCCCCGCTGCCGGTGCCGGTCCCGGAGCCCTCCGGCCGGTCCCGCTCCCCCTGCCCGCGGTGCCCGTGCCCGGTCAGACCCCCCCGGCCCAGCCCATCTCGTCCGCCAGCTCCTCCTCGGGCGGCGGCCGCAGCGGCTCCTCGTCGCTGTACACGGCGGGCGCGGGCGCGGGCGGGGCCCGGCGGCGGGTCAGCAGGTCGGCGGCCGCGCTCTCCATCTCGTCCATGGTCATGTCACACGCGTCCGCGATCTCCCGCTTTTGGGGGGGGGGGGGGGGGGTGGGGGGGGGGGGGGGGGGGGGTGTGGGTGGTGGTGGGGGGGGGTGGGTGTTGGGTGGGTGTGGGGGGGGTTGGTGGGGGGGGGGGGGGGGGGGGGGGGGTCGGGGGGGGGAGGGGGGGGGGGGGGGGGGTGTTGGGGTGGGGGGTTTGGGGGGGGGGGGGGGTGGGTGTGGGGGGGGGGCTGGGGGGGTGGGGGTTGCGTGGGGGTGTGGGGGTGTTGGGGTTTTGGGTTGGGGGGGGGTGTGGGGTGTGTGGGGGTGTGGGGGGGTGGGGTGTGGTTGGGTTGTGTGGGGTTGGGGGGGGGGTTGGGGGGGGGGGGGGGGGGGGGGGGTGTTGGGGGGTGTGGGTGGCGGGGGGGGTGGGGCCACCGCCACGAACTTGGGGTCGCGGGCGAACAGCCCGAGCCCCTCCGAGATCAGCACCTGGGCGGGGGGCGGAGGGGGCGGCGCTGGCACCGGCGCGGGGCGGTCCCCGCCTGTCCCCCCACGTGTCCCCCGCCTGTCCCACCGGGTCCCCCCGCCGTGTCCCCCCGCGTGTCCCGCCTGTCCCCCCGCCTGTCCTGCCTGTCCCCCCGTCTGTCCCCCCACCTGTCCCGCCGTGTCGTCCCGCCTGTCCCCCCGCCGTGTCCCCCCGCCTGTCCCGCCTGTCCCCCCGCCTGTCCCGCGGGTCCCCCCTCGCTCGAAGCCTCCGCCGCTGCCGGCGGGGCCCTGGGGTGTCCCCTTCGTGCGTCTCCCTCGTTCACGGCCGTCCCCGGGCTGTCAGCCGAGCTGCAGCAGGTCCCTGTCCCTGTGCCCCCCTCCATCTCCCCGGCTGTCCCCCCGTGTCCCACCCCAAGCCAAGCCACGGCCCCACCTGTGTCCCCCTATGTTCCCAGTGTCCCCGTCCCCCCATCACTCACAGCCTCCACCAGGCTGTCCACAGACCCCCGGGGTGTCCCCTGTCCCATGTCCCCCCTGTCCCCTGTCCCCCCTGTCACCCCCATCACTCACGGCCTCCACCAGGCTGTCCACAGACCCCCGGGGTGTCCCTTGTCCCACGTCCCCCCCCTGTCACCACTTCTTCTGTCCCCCCCTTGTCCCCCGTTGGTCCCCCCCCCGTGTCACTCACGGCCTCCACCAGGCTGTCCACAGACCCCCGGGGTGTCCCCTGTCCCCTGTCCCATGTCCCCCCTGTCCCCCCTGTCACCCCCATCACTCACAGCCTCCACCAGGCTGTCCGCAGACCCCCGGGGTGTCCCTGTCCCATGTCCCCCCTGTCCCATGTCCCCCCTGTCCCCCCTGTCCCCCCTGTCCCCCGGTCACTCACGGCCTCCACCAGGCTGTCCGCAGACCCCCTGGCCAGCGCGTCGCGGGGGTCGCAGGGCCGCAGGCGCAGGGGCGCGGGGGGGAACCAGCGGTTGAGGGGGGGGAGGCTGCCCCCCGCGCCCCCCCCCGCCGCCCCCTCCACCAGGATGAGGGGCGCGTACAGGACGTGCCCGCGGGCCGGGGCCGCCCAGGCCTGCGAGGAGCCCCCCAGGCGCCAGGTCTCGGAGCTGCCGTAGCCCTGGGGGGCAAAGGGGGGGTCAGCGGGGGGGGTGTGTGACACCCCCCTTCCCTGTGTCCCCCCCGTGTGTCCTCCCCAGCGGTACCTGCGGGCGGGCGGGGCCGGGGGGGCCCGAGGGGTTGTAGGTGCCCGGGATGGGCTCGTCCTCGCAGCTGCCCTGGCGCCGCAGGCACTGGATGGTGAACGAGGGCTTCCGGCCTGGGGGGCACCGCAGGGTCACCCGCAGGGTCACCCCCGGCCTGGGGGACACCCTCAGGGTCACCCCCCGGGCAGGGACCCGCAGGGTCACCCCCAGGGTCACCCCTGGTCAGGGACCCGCTGGGGCACTCCCAGGGTCACCCCCCGGGCAGGGACCCGCTGGGACACCCCCAGGGTCCCCCCCAGCCCCACGGCCCCTCCGGAGCAGCGGGTAGGGTCACACATCCCCCCCCCAGCCCCAGGGACCTTCCCGGGCTCCCACCCGGTGTCACCCCCAGCCCCCGGACCCTCCCAGGCAACCGGGGGGGTCCTTCAGCTTGCCCGGACACGGGGGGCTCACTGGAAGCCCCCCCGGTGCCCCCCCTCCCGTACCGGCGGGGGTGGGGGGCAGGAGGCGGCGCCGTTTCAGTTGTTGCCCCTCGCGGAGCGCGAAGTGTCGGGGGGGCAACGGCAGCGACCCCCCCCGGGGCAGCTCCATCCCCCAGCGCGGGGGGCCCGGCGGCCTGGGGGGACAGGGGGGGTCAGAGAGGGGGGGACAGCACAGGGACCCCCCCGGGGCACCTCCATCCCCCCCGCTCCAGGGGTCCCGGCGGCCTGGGGGGACAGGGGGGATCAGACAGGGGGGGACAGCACAGGGACCCCCCCGGGGCATCCCCATCCCCCCCGCTCCAGGGGTCCCGGCGGCCTGGCCCGGAGACAGAGTCAGGGGCTGCCGGGACCCCCCCCCGGTCCCAGGGCCCCCCCGGACGGGGATGTCCCCCCCGCTCGGGGGTCCGGTACCTGTCCCCGGCCCAGCGGGGGCGGGGCGGGGCCGCGCTCTCCAGGTCCTCGTCGTGGCTGATGTCCCCCCCCGTGTCCCCCCCCGGCTCCTCCGCGTCCTCCGGGGGAGCTTCCTCATCCTGCTCCCCCCCTTCGGAGCGGCGCCTGCCAACAGAGCCGTGGGGACCCCCCGTCCAACCCACCCCCCCGGGACCCCGTGTCGGGGTGTCCCCAGTTCCACCCCCTCAGTGACCCCCGTGTCGGGGTGTCCCCAGTTCCCCTCAATGACCCCCATGTCGGGGTGTCCCCGGGGTGCCCCCGGCCCCCTCCCGCCTCCCCCCAGCTGTACCTACTCCCCCTCCACCCCCCCTCCAGCCCCCGGGACCCCCAATTTTGGGGTGCCCCCCCAGCCGTACCTGCTCCCCAGACACCCCCACCTGCCCCCCCCGGCACCCCCAATTTTGGGGTGCCCCCCCCAGCCGTACCTGCTCCCCCTCCACCCCCCGGGACCCCCAATTTTGGGGTGCCCCCCCCCCCGTACCTGCCGCCCTGCCGGGGGGCTCCGCCGTGGGCGGGGGGCGCGGGCTCCTCCCCCTCGGGGGGGGCGGGGCTGGGGGCGGGGGGCGCGTCCCCGAGCAGGGGGGAGTTGGGGGCGGAGCCATAGAGCGTCTCGGGGGCCTGCGGAGAGGGGCGGGGTCAGTGGGCGTGGCCACGGGACAGGTGTGAGTGTGGCCATGGGGGAGGTGTGGGCGTGGGACAATTGTGCCCGGTGGGTGTGGCCACGAAAAGGTGTGCCTGGGGGCGTGGCCATGGACAGGTATGCCCAGTGGGCATGGGCATGGACAGGTGTGACCAGTGGGCATGGGCATGGACAGGTGTGACCAGTAAGTGTGGGCATGGACAGGTGTGCCCAGTGGGTGTGGTCATGGACAGGTGTGCCCGGTGGGTATGGTTACAGCACAGGTGTGTGTGCCTGGTGGGTGTAGTCATGGACAGGTGTGCCCAGTGGGTGTGGCCATGGAGAGGTGTGCCCAGTGGGCATGGCCATGGACAGGTGTGCCCAGTGGGCATGGCCATGGACAGGTGTGCCCAGCGGGTGTGGCCACGGACAGGTGTGCCCAGTGGGAGTGGCCATGGAGAGGTGTGCCCAGTGGGTGTGGCCATGGACAGGTGTGCCCAGTGGGTGTGGCCACGGACAGGTGTGCCCAGTGGGCGTGGCCATGGAGAGGTGTGCCCGGTGGGCGTGGCCATGGACAGGTGTGCCCGGGGGCGTGGCCGGGGCTCACCGCGTAGGTGAGCGGCTCCTCCGCGGGGGCGTCGCCGCCCTCGTCCCCCTCCAGGTCACTCAGCGCCCGGCGCATCTCGGGGCCCAGCGCCTGCAGCGTCTGCAGCCCGGCCTGGGGGGCACGGGGGGTCACTGCTGGCACCCGGGGACACCCGGGGACACCCGGGGACCCCCCCGGCCCCCCCCCGGGGGTCCCACCTGCAGGGCGCTCTCGTTGCTGGGGGTGGCGCTGGGGCCCAGCATCCCCCGCTCCTTCCGCCGGCGGAACTTGCGGAAATAGTCCTGGATCAGGAAGGTGGCGTAGAACTTCCCCACGGTGACCTCCTCCTCTGGGGGGGCACGGGGGGGTCAGGGGGCTCCCGGGGGGGTCGGGGGGGGTCAGGGTGGGGGGCTCGGACCTCACGCACCCTCGGGCGGGGGGATGACCTCGTCCAGCAGCTTCGGCTTCGTTCGCTTCCAGATCTTCTTGACCACGGCCCGGAGCTCTTTGTTGGCCACGTCCAGGTTCCCTGGAGGGACACGAGGGACAGCCGGGACCGTCACCCCGGGACTGTCACCCCCCGGGACCCCCCCGGGACCCCCCAGCTCCCAACCTTCCGTCTTGATCTTGAGGGAGGTGCGGACCAGCGCGAAGAGCGTCGCGTTGAAGGTGACGGTCCCGTCCGAGTTGAGGGGCATGTTCATGGCCACCAGGCGCTGGGGGGGGACCAGGGAGGGTAAACTCGGGTGCCCCCCACCCGGGACCACCCCGGGAGACCCCCCAGGGCCCCCCCCGGGAGCCCCCGGACCTTGCAGGCCACGCGGTGGGGGCAGAGCTTCCCGAAGCCCAGCGGGGGCTGGATCCGGCGCAGCAGCGTCACCACGTCCAGGTGCTTGATGCGGCCCCTGGGGGGGTCGGGGGTCAGAGGTCAGGGTCACGGGGGGTCAGGGGGGTCACGGGGGGGACGGGGGGACAGTGACCCACTTGGCAGCCGGGTCGTACTCGGACCACACACGCTTGAACTCGTCCAGGTGGTGCGGGCCCAGGATGGACCAGTCGCGCGTCAGGTAATCGAAGTTGTCCATGATGACGGCCACGAACAGGTTGATGATCTGGGGGGGCACAGGGGGGCTCCTGAGGGGCGGGCAGGGCTGGGGTGTGGGGCAGGGCTGTGGGGCAGAGCTGGGGGTGTGGGGCAATGGTGCTGTGGGGCAGTGGCACTACGGGACAGTGGTACCATGGGGCAGTGGTACCGTGGGGTAGTGATGCTGTGGGGCAGTGTCACTGTGGGGCAGTGGTGCTGTGGGGCAGTGGTGTTGTGGGGCAGTGGTGTTGTGGGGCAGTGTCACTGTGGGGCAGTGGTGCTGTGGGGCAGTGGTGTTGTGGGGCAGTGGCGCTGTGGGGCAGTGTCGGGGTGTGGCAGTGTCAGGGTGTGGCCGTGCCCAGGTGTGGCCGTGCCCAGGTGTGGCAGTGGTACCGTGGGGCAGTGTCAGGGTGTGGCAGTGTCAGGGTGTGGCAGTGCCCAGGTGTGGCTGTGCCCGGGTGTGGCTGTGCCCAGGTGTGGCAGTGTCAGGGTGTGGCAGTGTCAGGGTGTGGCCGTGCCCGGGTGTGGCCGTGCCCGGGTGTGGCCGTGCCCAGGTGTGGCAGTGCCCGGGTGTGGCCATGCCCAGGTGTGGCCGTGCCCGGGCGTGGCCGTGCCCGGTCCCTCACCAGGAAGGCGCAGAGCATGAAGAAGCTGATGAAATAGGCGATGGCGAAGTTGCTGCCGCAGGTGAACTCCTCCCCCGGCTCCGCGTCCGACTCGGGGTCGCAGCGTTTGCCCGGCAGGCTGGCCAGCATGATCTCCTGCCACGCCTCCCCCGTGGCACACCTGAACCCCCCCAGGTACACCTGAACCACCTGAACCCCCCACAGCTACACCTGAACCCCCCCAGGTACACCTGAACCCCCCCAGACTGCCCAGCATAATCTCCTGCCACGCCTCCCCCGTGGCACACCTGAACCCACAGGTACACCTGAACCCCCCCAGGGCACATCTGAACCCACAGCTACACCTGAACCACCTGAACCCCCCCAGGGCACACAGGTACCCCCCATGACACACCTCTACACCCCCTGGACACCCCCTGGACACCCCCTGGACACCCGGGTGCCCACCCAGGTCCCACCCTTGGTGCCCCTCCAGACCCCACAGAGCCCCTCACACCTCCCAGCCCCAGGTGGTCTCCTGCCCCACAGGAACGGGACAGGTGCCCCATAGGAACGGGACAGGTGCCCCATAACTGTGGGAGAGGTGCCCCACAGGAATGGGACAGGTGCCCCATAACTGTGGGAGAGGTGCCCCATAACTGCGGGACAGGTGCCCCACAGGAATGGGACAGGTGCCCCATAGGAAAGGGACAGGTGCCCCATAACTGCAGGACAGGTGCCCCATAACTGTGGGAGAGGTGCCCCATAACTGCAGGACAGGTGCCCCATAACTGCCCTGTAACAGGACAGGTGCCCCACAGAGCTCAGCTGAGCCCCAGAGGACCCCCGAGGGGCACTGTGGGCACCACAGGGCTTGGGGGGACAGACACAGACCCCCCAGGGACCCCTCAGACCCCCCAGACCCCCCAGGGACCCCCCAGACCCCCCAGACCCCCCAGGGCCCCCCAGGGCTCTGCAGGCCCTGCAGCCCCACAGCGGGGCCGGGGGGGCTCCCAGAAGGACCCCAAAGGGAGTTCCCAAATCCCACCAGACCCGGAGCCACCTCCGACCCCACGGGAAGCTCAGATGCACCCCCAGCCCCCCTGAGGCCCCCTAGAGCCCCCCCAGCCCCCTTGGGACCCCCCTGAGCCCCCTTGGGACCCCCCTGAGCCCCCATGGGACCCCCTGAGCCCCCATGTGACCCCCCCTGAGCCCCCATGTGACCCCCCCAGCCCCCATGGGACCCCCCCAGCCCCCATAGGACCCCCTGAGCCAACATAGGACCCCCCAGCCCCCATAGACGCCCTGAGCCCGCATAGGACCCCCCCCCACCCCCTAGGACCCCACTGAGCCCCCCATACGACCACCCTGACCCCCATGGGACCACGCACTGAGCCCCATAGGAGCACTCCATCCCCACTGGGACCCCCTGACCCCCCATGGGACCCCCAAACCCCATAGGAACCCGCCCCATCCCCCATGTGACAACCGCCTGAGCCCGCACATGTGAACGCCCCCCAGGTCCCCTAGGACCCCCCCCAGCCCCCCATAGGAACTCGCCCAGCCCCTGGGACCACTCTGAGCCACCATGGTGAACCCCCCACCCCCAGAGACCCCCTAGAGCCCCCATAGAAGTGAACCCCCCCCAGCGCCCCATATTACCCCCTGAGCCCCATGGGAACCACCCCCTGAGCCCAACCATAGGACCCCCGAGCCCCCTGTGACCCCCGAGCCCCGCCCGCTGCCCCCCCCAGCCACCCGGTGCCCCCCCGACCCCCCCTTGCACCACCGAGCCCCCCCGAGCCCCCCGGCCGCACCTGAAGAGCAGCAGCACGGCCTGGGGGAAGGTCTGGAAGTTGTTGTTGCGGTTGATCTGGGTCCCGTCCTGCAGAGCCACCTTCCCGAAGGTCTGGGGGGCACGGGGGGGCTGGGGGCTCGCAGGACCGACCCCCCCGTGCCCCTCACGCCCCCCACACACCCCCTGACCCGGGGGCTCCCCCGGCCCCCACCTGCATCCCGATGACGGCGTAGATGAAGAAGATCATGGCGATGAGGAGGGCGACGTAGGGCAGGGCCTGGGGGCAGAGCGGGGTCAGGGGGGGCTGTGTGACCCCCCCGGGCCCCCCCTCCCCGTCTGCCCCCCCGGCCCCACCTGGAAGGACTTGACGAAGGTCCAGAGCAGGGTGCGGATCCCCTCGCCCTTGGAGAGCAGCTTGACGAGGCGCATGACCCGGAACAGCCGGAAAAACGTGATGGAGATGCGGGAGCTGTCCTCCGAGCTCTGCGGGGAGGGGGGTCAGGGAGTCCCCAAAAACACCTGAAACCCCCCAAAACACCTGAACCCCCCCAAAAACCCCTGAACAGCCCAAAAAACCCCTGCACCCCCAAACCCATATACACCCTAAAACGTGATGGAGATGCGGGAGGTGTCCTCCGAGCTCTGCGGGGAGGGGGGTCAGGGAGTCCCCAAAAACACCTGAAACCCCCAAAAAACACCTGCACACCCCAAAAACCCTGCACAACCCAAAAAATCCTGCACACCCCAAAACCCACACACACCCCAAAAACCATACACACCCCAAAAAAACCCGCACACCCCAAAACCCCTGCACATCCCAAAAAAACCCCTATATACCCCAAGAAACCCCTACACACCCCAAGAAACCCCTGCACATCCCAAAAACCCTTCACACCCCAAAACCCCTACACACCCCAAAAACCCTTCACAACCCAAAACCCCTACACATCCCAAAACCCCCTGAACCCCCCCAAAAACCCCTACACACCCCAAAAAAACCCTACACACCCCAAAAACCCCTGCACACCCCAAAAAACCCCCTGCACACCCCAAAAACCCTGCACACCCCAAAAACCCTCGTGCACCCCAAAAACTCCTACACACCCTAAAACCCCTGCACACCCCAAAAAATCCCTGCACACCCCAAAAACCCCCACACACCCCAAAAACCCCTGCACACCCCAAAACCCCCGCACACCCAAACCCCCTCCCACCCCCAGCCCAGCCCCCCCTCACCTCACCGACGTGCCCCCCGTTCTGCCGCCCCGGCCGTGGCGATGGAGGTGGGTGGAGACACAGATGGACGTGAGGACACGGACACGGGGGGGACCCAAACATCCGGGACCCCCCTCCCCAGAAAACACCCCCCTCCCCAAAATCATCCCCCTCCCCAAAAACACCCCCCTCCCCAAACCCCCCCCCTCCCCAAACCCCCCCTCCCGGTGCGGGTGACTCACGTTGACCTCGGTGACCGCGATGTCCACCACGCTGCCCACCACGATCAGCGCGTCGAACGTGTTCCAGGCGTCACAGAAATAGTGCTGGGGGGGGCAGGTGAGAGACCCCCGCCTGGGACCCCCCCACACCCTGGGACCCCCCCCACACCCTGGGACCCCCCCACACACACCCTGGGACTCCCACACACACACCCTGGGACCCCCCCGGCCTGGGACACCTCCCGTCCCACACCGTGTGACCCCCCCGGTGTGACACCAAATAGTGCTGGGGGGGGCAGGTGAGAGACCCCCGCCTGGGACCCCCCCCACACCCTGGGACCCCCACACACACACCCTGTGACCCCCCCGGCCTGGGACACCCCCTGTCCCACACCGTGTGACCCCCCCGGTGTGACACCAAATAGTGCTGGGGGGGGGACAGGTGAGCAACCCCCCATCCTGTGACCCCCCCCCCCACACACACCGTGTGACCCCCCCCGGTGTGACACGGCCCCCCCACCCCCTGTGCCCCCCTACCCTGGGTTTGAAGGCGATGATCTTGAGCACCATCTCCACGGTGAAGAGCCCGGTGAACACCATGTTCAGCAGGTCCATCACGTAGTTGAAGGGCTTCGACTGCTCGTAGTGCTGGGGGGGGACACGGGGGGGTCCTGAGCTGTCCCACCCCCCCCGGGGGTCTGAGCTGTCCCACCCCCCAGGGGTCTGAGCTGTCCCCCTGTCCTCCCCCCAGGGGTGTGAGCGGTCCCCCAGGCTCTGACCTGTCCCCCCCAGGGATCTGAGCTGTGCCCACACAGAGGTCTGAGCTGTCCCCAGGGGTCTGAGCTGTCCCCCCCCAGGGGTCTGAACTGTTCCCCCCCGCCCAGGGGTCTGAGTTGTCCCCCCCCCCTCGGTTCTGAGCTGTCCCCCCAGGTCTGAGCTGTCCCCCCCCTGAATTCTGATCTGTCCCCCCAGGGTGTGAGCTGTGTCCCCCCCGGTCTGAGCTGTCCCACCCCCCTGAGGGTCCGAGCTGTGCCCAGGGTTCCGAGCTGTTCCGAGGGTTCTGAGCTGTCCCCCTGGGTCTGAGTTGTGCCCCCCCACCCTGGGGGTCTGAGCTGTGCCCCCCCAGTCCGAGCTGTGCCCCCCAGGTCTGATCTGTCCCATCCCCCTGGGGGTCCGAGCTGTGCCCCCCGGTCTGAGCTGTGCCCCCCAGGTCCAAGCTGTCCCCCTGGGTCCAAGCTGTGCCCCCCCAGGTCCGAGCTGTCCCCCCAGGTCCGAGCTGTGCCCCCCCGGGCCCGAGCTGTGCCCCCGGTGCGAGCTGTGCCCAGGGTTCCGAGCTGTGCCCCCGGGTCCGAGCTGTGCCCAGGGTTCCGAGCTGTCCCCCCAGGTCCGAGCTGTGCCCCCAGTCCAAGCTGTGCCCCCAGGTCCAAGCTGTGCCCCCGGGTCCGAGCTGTGCCCCCCGGTCCGAGCTGTCCCCCCGGGTCCGAGCTGTGCCCCCTGGTCCAAGCTGTCCCCCTGGGTCTGAGCTGTGCCCCCCCACCCTGGGGGTCTGAGCTGTGCCCCCCCAGGTCCGAGCTGTCCCCCCAGGTCCGAGCTGTCCCCCCGGGTCCGAGCTGTGCCCCCTGGTCCGAGCTGTGCCCCCCGGTGCGAGCCGTGCCCACCTGCACGGCGAGGGCGATGGTGTTGAGCAGGATGAGCACGAACATGATGTACTCGAAGGCCGTGGAGTTCACCATGGCCCACACCCGGTACTGGGTGCGGTTCTTGGGGATGTAACGGCGCAGGGGCTGCGCCTTCAGCGCGTACTCCACACACTGGCGCTGGGGGACAGCGTGGGGACAGTGAGGGGACATGGGGACAGTGTGGGGACATGGGGACAGTGTGGGGACATGGGACACAGCCACTCCACACACTGGCGCTGTGGGACAGCGTGGGGACAGTGAGGGGACATGGG